AGAGAAAGAGAGGTTGGATTAGCAGTGGAGAAAGTGGCAAAAAAGAGCTGCAGCGAAGTTTTGATGAAAGAAAAGGAATTTGAGATAAAAAATGGGGCTGTACCAGATGAGAACGGCTTACTAGGCATAGCATGCTCCTATGATATGGGATGGCAGAAGCGAGGGAGAGCATTTAACTCACTAACCGGCCATGGGGCTGTGATGGGTTTGCATACTGGCAAGGTCATGGCTTTTTCCTCAAGAAACAAGAGATGTCGATACTGTGATAGCCCTAGAGGAAAAGAAAATGCAATTTGTAAAAAACACGATTGTCGGAAAAACCACACTGGTTCCTCAAAAATTATGGAGACAGATGTCGCATGCCAACTTTTCAAAGAAGCCCCAGAAAGCAAAGTCAAGTTTTCAAGTTATGTTGGAGACGATGACAGCACAACACTAGCAGAGTTAGTGAAACAAGCTCCATATGAATTGCATAAATATTCTGACATCATTCACATTAAAAGATCTCTATCAACACGGCTGTACAATCTGAGTCAACGAATGAAATTTCCCAATTGCTCTACACTGTCACAAAAAGTAATCAACTATCTTGTCAAGTGCTTTGCATATAGTGTTCATCAAAACAAAGATGATAAGCCTGAACTGTCTAAATCTCTCAAGTCAATCATCCCACATGCCTTTGGTGACCATAGCAAATGCAACCCTACCTGGTGCAGATTTCATTTAAATCCCGCAACTTATCTACACAACGAGTTACCTTATGGAAAGGATCTCCATGGTGATTCACTTAAAACTGCTCTGAATGACATTTTTTCTGAATACACAACAGATATTGTGTTGGAAAAACTAGCACCTCTCTTGAATTCCCAGCGAAATGAATCACTGAATGGAACCATAGGGTCAAAGAATATAAAGATTCGCTACTATGGAGACAGTGAGAGCAGTGACTTTCGAATTGCCTGCGGTGTTGCCCAACGTAATGAAGGACCCCAATATGTTGGCAAAACATTGGCTTCTCTCGGGATTAATCCTGTACAACGGTGCAATGAATATCACAAAATGCTGGATGAAAAACAGATACAGGATAACAAAAGAAAATCAATGGCTGAATTTAAACTTAGAAGACGTACACTTTATACAAAAAAGATCACAAAGCAAACAAAGAATAGTTTGAAAGAAGCACCCAGCTATGCTTCAAACATTGCCCTGAATTTAGATCCAACAGCACAGTCACAAGAAGAACCTGAACTAACTATTTTGAATGAAATTAACCTAGCTGAATGCAAAGCTATTTTAAAAGACTGTGAAGCAATATTACAAGATCCAATCATGAGACCAGAAGTCCAGTCACTAGCTTTTGATTCTACAACTGCATTCTACAACTTTTTCATTTGGGATACGGAAACAACAACTATTGGCAAATCAGCTGAGATAATTCAAGCCTCTATACAATATTCTTATACTCAGTATGTCACTCCCCAAAGTGCAATAAGTCCCGCAGCATCAAAAGTTCATGGACTAACTAGTGAGGAGGTTTTAAATGGTGTGAAAGTGTTGTGCAAGGATGGCAAGCAGGTCAACAGTATTTCCCTACGGGAATGCATCACTCAGCTCTTGAGTTTTATAGAAAAAACGACTGAACATTACAAGAAAGAGTCCAACAAACCTGTAATAACTGTTATGCTTGGCCACAACTCCTTCGTGTTTGATACACCTGTCCTCCTTCGTTCGGCAGGATCGTCGTTCGTTGAGAAGCTGACGTGATTAGATGTTTTATTCGCGGACAGTTTGCTTATTTTCAAGTCAATTCGAAAGTCAGATCTACCTGCGAAGGAGATTCTTGCACAGTGCAAAGGAAACAAGTTAACTACCTTTTATTCTCATCTGTTCAATAAAGGTTTTGATGCACACGATGCGACAGAAGATGTCAAAGCTTTGATCAAAATTTTGTTCCAATCTTCACTTGAAATAACATCAGAACAAATATTCCGCTTTGGCCAAACTACGACTGCCAAACAGGCCCACGAAGATGTGAGATTTCTCGATCAAAGGCATTTCAGAACCAAAACATTCGCACAAATGTGTTACCCAGATGGACGAAGTATTATCTCGGACGCAATAAAGCAAAAACTTGCCATTAAAGGAATCTTGTACGAGAATCTTGAACAAATTTACCGCCAATTTGGAAAGCATGGAGTATTCGCCATTATCGCTTTACCAGAATCAGTCAACGAATGGGACAAAAAATGCCGTCCACGGGTTACATCAGTCGCCAGGATTCAGGCCACGATATTACACTACTTTCAAACCATATTCAAAAGTTAATTCCAATGGATCAAGTAAGTAAAACAAGTTAAACATTTAACCCCGAATATAAATACAACGCACGCTCGTTTCGAATTTTCATCGCGAAGCGCGAAGACGAGAACCGTGAACTGCGCCCGCGTGCTATAAGTCAGCGACAAAATTCTATAAGGGGAAATCGCGAAAAACACACGCAGCTTTTTAAACGATACATTCCCGTCTTGCTCATTGGTTTCATCGGTGACCTATCTTCAAATTTTCACTATATAATTTAATTTTAATTTACTTTATATATTTCAAATTTTAAAAAAATCTGTCTAGTGCAAATCTTTTAATAAAATTTCAGCTTTTAAAAAAATCGCACTAGACAAAATTTCTTACAACTGCGTCAGGTAGTGCTTAACATCGTGTTCTATTGATATTCGAAATAAAAAAGATGGGTCACCGACTTCGTTTTTAAGTTTCAGCCAAGTTAATGCATAACTTATCGGAGTTTATGCCTTCGCTATGTTGCCATGGTAACGATAACATTGTAAAAACTGATTTCGAAATATTTCCTAGCCATTAAATATCACTACTAAAAAGAAAAAAATACGAAATCAAACGGGTAAGCCTTTCATTTTAAAGATTTTTTAAATACCCGCGCAACTGTAGGGAGCCACCTTAAGTCAAAGGCTTTCCTGAAAACAGCGAAAAAGACTGGTACTTTAGCTTAATTGTCGACGGTGGCTTTAGTCCAGCTGTGAACAAGATTTATAAGAGCGTGAGTGGTAGAGGAATCAGGTATACAACGGTACAGGTCTTGTCTAATCCGATTGAGCCGGAATAGCGGGCTTTACATGTTCTCTGACCACATACTCCTTGGAAATTTTGCTAACGGTGGGGTGTCAATGATATAGTTCTTAGGTCTTTGTTAATGTCTTTCAAAGTTTGGTTTTTAGGTAAAGCTGTAACATTTTCACTTTTCCATACCTCGGAAGGCTTTTCTCAGTAAGTGATGAGTTGATTAACATACATACTTGTTCTGCCAAAATATGTGCGAATTCCTTAAGAATCCAATTTCGTATATTATCAGGCGCACATGCTTTTGATATATTTACTGTACTAAGTTGTTTTTCTACAGCATGAAGGGAGATTACAGGCTGGTCGACATTTATGGCATCAAGTCTTTTAAATGGGAACAGGGGTATTTAAGTTTCTTGGGGTTTGATAAACGCATTTTTAATTTTATTTGCTAGGTTTTGTTTTGTTGCCTTTGAAGGGAAATATCCGGAAGTGGCGGGAAGCAGTTTCGACACAATCATCCACGATTTCTCTTGTTACCTAGCTACGAAATTAGATCGTTTTTATCAGTATTTACTGAAACAGATGTTAATATTGAAACCGAAGTCCTCACAATGTCATTCAGTTAACTTTGGTCAGACAAGACGAGATTGTTCTTCAAACACCGCGTAACGGGGACTTGGAAAGCTATAGAAAATTTCGTAATTAAAGTTTCGGATAAATTACCAGGGTAACAGGATTATATGACAATCTCCTGAAGCAATGGTGAATAATTAACCACAAAATATTTTAACAAAAATGAACAGGATGCTACTTTATACACCTTTCCACCGTCAGTTATGTGCTGGGAATAGTTTTATGTCCAAAACCTCTTTAAAACCTCTTTTTACCTTCACAGCTGGTTGTTCAAACGCAGGCTATCCCTCAGCTAAAATGGCTTATAAATTTTATCCCGTGAGGTTATGATTTATTGCGTTGTTCAAAACGGATTAGCGTACCAACTCACGGGCTAAATTTAACCCACCTGGTTCACCAGGTGTGTAAGCTTGCTAATCTGCCGGCTAACACTGGTTAAACTAATCTTGGTTTAAATTTTAAAGATTTTAACAGGTTTCGCTGACTAACTCTGGGACAAGGCTCCTCGGTTGTAGAAATATCAGACACGCAAATGGACCACTTGCATAATAGACCAACTTTTGATTCAGGTGACAAAAAGGGAATTTCCTAAAAGAGCATACAAAACTTAGTAAAATTGCCAAGTTTTGCTGTGAAATATTGTAAAGTGCCGCAGATATAGCCATGCGAAGTTGGCGAATTTTGTATACTTTTGTATTACGGCCGGACGCGTGTAACTAAATTAGTTACACGCTTCCAGCCGTAGTAAAAAAGTATACAAAATTGGCAACTTCGCATGGCTATATCTTCCGTACTACTTTACATTTTGCAACCAAACTTGGCAATTTTATTAATTTTGGTATGTTCTTTTTAGCTGTTGTGATATATTTCTTGCTTGTCACCTAGATCTGAAGTTGGTCTATTATGCAAGTGGTCCATTTAATGATGCATCTCCTCTCTTCTTCATCATTAAACGATGATTAACATATTTTTCAAATCCGGGTTGATGAGCTTTGCAAGACGAATGCCATTGGTACGTTTCGCTAAAATACAATAGATACCTGACGAGAAAGGAATAATTTTTTGCTTAAACCTTGACAATAACATATTTAATGACTTGTATTGTACTTTTATTTAGTCTCCAAACTGTCTATATTCTATTAACTGCGGGTTAGGCTAATGGGAGGAAAAGAATCTCTATTTTAAATATTTTGAAAAACTAACAAGATACGTATTAGTGCACTACACTTTTTGTAAAGTAAACCTTATGTCTTTTAGTTCTTTATTTTTCAACAACTTTATTTCCTCTTTCCAAATTCACGTGGTCGTATCTTCATTGATGTTGATTTCAGAGAATAATAATGATCTTTCCAATGTCTCCAGTTGACTCCATCACCATCCGATTTGTGATCGCCATAATGATACAAACCATTCAAATTTGAATCATGACAAGCACGATACCACCAGGCTCCTTTGAATGACACTGCACAGTTAGCCCTGCCAATATCATTGTCAGAATCTTTGGTGCTGAAAGCCATACCGTCATGTTTTTTCAACGAGTCTCCTGCTGTACCTTAATTAATGCAAAAAAGAACCCAAAAATGGTTATAAAATGAATAGCAGGGCAATAATTAATGCTCGTAATCGAATGTCCTGAGCATTTTGTTTTGTTAAAAGTTTTGGAAATTCTCAAAATGGAGATATTTTACATTTCTCCAGTTGACTCAAAAACTGCCTCGTTTAAAGTATATTTATGGATCACTCATTGATAATATTCCTATAGTTTATACAGTATTTAAGGTGCAGGATTTAATGGTTCACTGCACAGTTTATTGTATAGAGAGCTGGACTATCGTGTAAAATGATTACCATTATAACCTCCAACATTCAACTTGTACTTCTCATTTTCACTGCTGACATTAAATGAATCGTAATGAGCGTATCTGGTGTTCCCAGATGTATCTTCCATGTCGATACGAAGTTCATTTTGTGAAATAATTGTCATCATGTGTATTTTGTCAAGACCAAGCCAATATTCTCCGCTCAAGTTACCAAAACCTTGTTTGTAATCTTGCCATCCTCGGTAGAAGTCAACACTTCCATCAAGACGACGTTGAAATACAGTCCATCCTCCACCTGATGTTGTCATATCACAAAACACTTTGAAACTTCCCTTTCCATCAGGATTAATTTCCGCTTTGATTACTTTCTTTTTCATACAAATCAGCGCAGTTGAGACCTGAAAAATACGGATTTACATCACAATTTAGTGGCCTGTGGCCAATAAAAGCAATAATTATTTTTTTTAAACGGGTTAAAAACCTCTTCAATTTTTTTTCTTGGAAATGAAAATAAAATAGCTTTTAACGTTCCGTCCGTTCTCTGGGTTCAGCTTTCAGATTAAGGCAAAAAAGAAATTTCTGTGAGAGCATCAGAGAGAATTAGTACAATTGCCAAGTTTGACTTCGCAAGGGGGGATGTTTATACCAAAAATGCCCTTTTGTTTTTTTTAAACACAATGCGATATGCCTTATCCAAAATAAGATATCCCATGTTGACAATGCCTTAATATTCAGTATGCCATTTTTAGGCTGAAAATACCCTATATTTGGTTATAAGTGCTATTTTTTGCTCAACAAAATAACAGGCCATTGACACATTGACCAGTTCGTGTGTATCTTGATTGTGTTTTATTAAGATTATGTTTTGCAGTTTCCGTATTTTGTCATGTTTTAATTAATATTGTCCGTGCGTCAGACATGAACTTTAAATTTCCTACTATCCCAAATAAACCAGAACCTTTCCCAATGATGTAAAACGCAGAAAACTTGTCTACATTCTAAACTTAAAATTGCTCAGGAAAAAAAACTAAAGCAAATAAACCATCTATGCATATACGCATTTTAGCTGCCCTGTTTATTAACTGAAAAGTTCCTTTGAAACTTGTGCCCCACAAAGAAAAAATTGAGATTGAATTGGCGCATATTGACAGAAGATTTAAAACATTTCTCGTTCCATAATATTATAATAAATTGATTTAGTTAATATTAATATTCTCGTAGTTTTTGTTCCGAATGATATTCCAAATGTTCCAAAATTTAAAATTATGATCCATCGTAATTATCGCTACTCTGGTTTAATAAATGAAAGTAATCACCACACAAAGATTAACTTTCACGACCCAACGTTTCGACACTCCGGTCTAGTGTCTTCATCAGGGGTGATCTGATGTTGAAACTCGGTTCCTTATATACTCTCAAAATGACGTCATCTATTAATCAGATGTAAATATTCTTTTGGCAAATAGCTTCCGTCATCCCTATTAAGGGCACAAAGACTCGCATAGTTGCCTTAAAACCCTTTCAGACATTGCGACATATTTTCGCGAAACCCAAGGATCGCGTAGCGACTAAACAGAAAACTCATGCTGTATACTCTATACCATGTGGTGAGTGCGAGAAAGAATATCTAGGTCAAACAAAACGCCAGTTCGGCACACGTTTAAAAGAACATCAAAAGGCCGTTTCGAACCTAGACAGTTCAAAATCAGCCTTGGCGGAACACGTGTGTCAAACTAACCATGACATTGGGTGGAACGATTCAAAAGTCAAATCAAAGGCGTCGTTTGGAAGCCTGGCATATTAATGCGAGTCTTTGTGCCCTTAATAGGGATGACGGAAGCTATTTGCCAAAAGAATATTTACATCTGATTAATAGATGACGTCATTTTGAGAGTATATAAGGAACCGAGTTTCAACATCAGATCACCCCTGATGAAGACACTAGACCGGAGTGTCGAAACGTTGGGTCGTGAAAGTTAATCTTTGTGTGGTGATTACTTTCATTTACTAAAACCAGAGTAGCGATAATTACGATGGATTATATACCTGGTTGCCGTGAACTCATAAACTTCAATTAAAATTATGATATTTGTGATAATTCTAAAGCAAATTACCTGATTTCCTGGTACGATTTTCTTCTTCAACCGCCTTTCTTGCCTACACAAAATTGATCACAAAAATACTGCAGTTAATAAGAAATTGATTTTAATCTTGATACATTAATTAATATATTAGTATAAGTTACGGTATCATATCGAGTGCAATTACGGATTAACAAGCACGAGTGAGTTTTTTAAGGCTGCAAAATAGCGCGAGTCCGAAGGACGAGTGGTATTAATAGTCTTTAAAGACTCACGAATCCATGATTATCCGTAATTACACGAGAAATTATACTATTATATATTAATGATATTCAAGGAAATCTTCGAGACAATAAATTAAAGCGATGGTGTAAAAGCCTTTCATAGCCCAATATGACTTTGGAAAACGGCGAATAAAGCTCACATATAAATAAACTGCATCCCTTTTCACAAAACAAGCACAGAAATATGAACAAGTACATAAATAGTTATACATATGAACAACTACATTAATAGCAAACACAGAAATATTATGAACAACTACATAATAATATAGAAACGTACCGATTTAAAACATTTCAAACCTTTACATTATAGAGCGTAAAACCTTTTTCGCTTTTTTTTTCTTGAAGAGCAACCCTTTTTGTTTTTGATAAATGTTACAAGATGATTTTCATTGCAACTGTTATTATTTTTCCCATTTGTTTGGTGAAATTTTTAAAAACGATTTTATAAAAAAATACCAATTTTTTACTCAGTTAATCAGAAAGCTGCTGATTAACGGTTTCCAGTCATTTAAATTTTGCGTATGCGCAGACCTAACAAAACCATCCAACGCTAATGACTTTTTTGATTCCGCTATGTTCGGTCACAATATCCAGGAAATAAAAAAAATAAATTTTTAAAGAGTTGTCCTAAAATCACAGTTATAGAGAAAATATATTACTATAATTTAATAATAACAATATTTTCTTGTGTGATGAGAACAGAAAGCTGTGCGAAGAGCTCGAAATAGCTCTTCCTATGGGCTTCATTTCCCACTGATATTTTCTCGCTCTCCCTAACTCCCAGGCGTGTTTCTATAACTGTATAGAAACACGGAAAATGTTTTCTATATTTTCTTAAATATCATTTAATTTATCAATCTTACTGCTTCAACATTTCGCATCAATATCCAATCTCCGGTTAGTTTCGTTTCTTCTTTCTTTCTAGTAACGTTGGTCAGTTGGCAATTTTCGACATTTTTTGTTGTTCTGTAGTTGAATCCAACACATTTGTCTTCGTCTTTGCAGTGAGTGTGACATCCTAACATGACAACTGAAGATGTAACATTGTGTCTTGATATTATTTCATCCGCAGGCAATGATGGACCTCCTAAAAATTTCAACAAAATTCTTGAAAGACAAATATTTTAATGTCCAAATTTTAACTAAAACTATGTGTTTTATTCTGGACTGATTTCACCATATGAAACATTTAAATGGTGTTTCAATGGTTAATTTTTTCTCTCACTTTTTTCGACAATACTCACCTCTGATGATTATATCGTAATTCCTCGGGGAACATTGGTTTGCTGAAATGTTTCCAATAGCAAGCAACAGGAAGCTCAAGCTGGCCGCTACAAACATCGTTTAAATTGTCTCCTGTCTGACTCGGTAATTCTGGAAGATATTTTTCATACGAGTTATGACCAAGAAAAGACCAATATAAAATAATCGTGAGATATGATGTTGCCTGTGCTTCGTGAAAATTTGGAAATTCAATTAAGTTGCTATAGCCACGTAAGCCACATACACGCGCTTCAATGAGATGCATTATGGCCTTTGACAGTTATGACAAAAGACAAAGATTGCATGTGTTAGCTTCAACACTTTATTTTGAACGTTTCCTTACGGTATACGGTAATAAAAAATAATTTCATTTTTTTCACTTGTTTCAAAAAATTCTGTATCAACCTCCATAAATATTTTAAAGTTTTACACTGACATGTTTTATGGTGAAGCTAGATCGAGATGTGTGTTAATGTTATTAGGGACCTTAAGCATGTAGGACGCGAACGCGACGACGACCGCTTTCAATGCAATGGGTCATTGAAAATAAAGGAATATTTAAAGACCCATGATGGGTTTTAGACGTCGTCTTCGTTCTGTTTACAGCGAGAAAACGTCGTTTTTTACGTCTTGCCTAGAACGGTTGCATTTCAGGCCCAGCGAGCCCTCTCTCGAATTAGGCTCTATAGAATTGTCCTTAAACATAAACACAATGTTTTTAACGCCTTATATCTCACTGAATTGGTACAATTAATAATATAAAACAACAACTTAGCCATTGCATTTATTTAAAGGAGAATTTCAGCCTCGTCCTCGTCGTGTTGCCGTCCTTAACACACCAGCCTTAACACACCTATTTAACCGACGCTGCAATAGCCAGATATTTTGCGAATGTCAGTTTAGCCAAGATGGAGATTAATTGTGCAACATGATTGAGCCAAACTCGTGACTGACGATCATTCTCGTGAGCACGAAGTTTGCTTAATTGATACAGTTTGTTTATTTTTCCCTAATGGCGCTAGCGAACTTTGGGCCCTTATTTCACAAACTAAATTTTTAAACGACTTGATCATGAAATAATCTAAAACTATGAAGAATATTCAATGCGTCATCTAAAATAGCTTCAGTTTTTAAAGGGCTTGGGGGAAAGCGCTTCTGATTGTCACGTTCATGCCCATAAACTCAGCATTAAGTTATTGTAATCATAGATCAGTCGAATGCTATACTGTTCAACTAGCGTGTGCGGTTGGTCAGGTTGATGTCTTAGAGGCTAGCTATATACTTTCTTTGCATGTAGCGTGTTTACACGGTAGTCCTAATTGTGAGAATAGACACCGATTTAACGGCAATTTAATAAAGAATTTTGGGATGAGAGAATGACCACAATGAATTGCATCCAATAAGATCGAATGCTTCCCCCAAACCCCTTTTCCCACAAAAAAAATTAAGCGTGTGTATGTGTATTGTTTTGCGCAGAAAACCCGCTTGCTAGTAACCCTTCGATTATTATAGAGCATCTATAACCTATATACTCCCAAATCAACAAAAGATTTTGGTCACATTTTGCAGAAAAAAGTGAGTGGGAATAAATTTTAACGTTAAAAATGACTTACCACAACTTTGGTTATAAGATATATTGGAGATTATTTCAGGACTTTGAACAGTTGCAGCAAAATACTGATATGCATGCGAGCAAATAAATTATTCTTATTCTTATTATAAACACTCAACAGCAAATAAATTATTTAAGTGCAAGCTGCATAATAAGCATCAACGTCTCTTATTTCGCAGTTTATGAACAGTCGTATAGCGCCGAGCATTTAATATAATGCGGTTAGGAGAATGTTGTCTCTAAAGCAAAGTTCTCAAACGGTTTATAAATCAACGAGGATACGTTCTATTATACTAAAATGCATATCTATCGAAACAATGGCAATGGAAGTAAATTTTAATGTTTAAAATGACTTACCACAACTGTGATCAAGATAGATTGGAAATTATTTGAGGACTTTATTTGAAACTGCTTGTTTGGGTAGAAATCGGAGGAACAGTAGCTAATAAAGCTACATAAATGTTAAAAAAGCAAATAAATTATTTAAGTGCAAGCTGCATATTGAATATTGACGACCTTCATCATAGGCTAATGCGGGTACCAAATGACATCTTATGTATATAATTATCCTAAGGCTAGCAACTCTCTCGCAAAAAATATAATGCATATACATTGATACCATCGCTTGAAACACAAAAATTACGATAGTTTCTTCAAAAAAACTGGATACAAAATACCTTGGACATATTTACTAAATTTATCTGTCGTTTTTAGACTTGAAAACATTTTAAAAATGCTTAAATTTTGCAGATATAAAGTGTATTTTAATCGAAATTTTGTTTAACAAAGCTGGGATGCAATTTACTCGACGAACGTCATCATCGGAAAATCGTCGGCAAATTTCTGATTGGCTGTTGAAAGCTCGGAAAATTACGAAGACATTTTTTCGTCATCAAGTTGGCCTTGTCGAGTAAATTGCATCCCGCCTCTGTTTAACAAAATTTCGATAAAAATGCACTTTTTATTTGCAAAACCTAAGCAGTTTTATGTTGTTTTCAAGTCTAAAAAGACAGATAAATTTGGTAAATATATCCAAGGTGTTTTGTATCTAGTCTTTTTTGAAGAAACTAGCGTAATTTTTGTGTTTCAAGCGGTATTAATATCATTATGCATTATATTTTTTGTGAGAGAGTTGCCAGCCTTAGGATGATTATATAAATAAGATAGAATGCGGTATCAGCCTCTGCCCTTATTGAAGGATTGGGTTATTGAAGGAATGGCTGGTTTCCGAGATATGCATGATATGCATGATAAATCTTAGATCGGCATGAAGATAGTGCAAGTCTTCGGATATTGGTTAGTAATAATAATAATAATTTATTCACACAAATAAAGGTCATGTGAAAAGGAGATAATGAGGTTATCCCTATCTAGTTACCTCCAATCTCCATCTAGTTATCTGGTTATTTGTCTTTGTTATTTGTAGTTATCTCCATCTAGTTATCTGGTTATTTGTCTTTTTTGTTGTAAATAGCATTTCTTTTTGATCCTCAACGGCTTGTTATTAAAAAAGTAATTATTTTCAATTCATATCCGCCATATTTATTTTACTAATTGCTTCACTTTAATTAAAGATGTTATATCCTGTTATATCCTATCAACGCTAATATCCTGCGCCTAGCAAAGTTTGTTTACGTTGGTTATATCACCTTTACATGAAGTATGCATCGTTTTAATTTTATTATTTTCTTCTCCTTCTCGTTCGACCGGCTGTAATTAATATGCTTATCTTATATTATATTTTAAAGAAGATATAAAGCGAAGTTTGTAAATAAACCGTTATTTAAAACTTTATATACAGTATTTGTAATTGTAGGACAAGCGATAAAGTAGCGTCAGTAGAGACGACAAATATAGCTTCGCCATTTCGTGTACTCATTCAACAAATAAATTCTTGAAGCATTCCTTTCAGCAAAATATTGCTTTTATCTAGCAGCCTTATCTTCGTCATGCACTCGCAATTCGAGATTCTTCGCCTTGCGACATAAAATAAAATAGTTGTGCTCCCGCGAACTGTCGGTTTGTAATACAACGCGCTAATATCCCATATCGGCATCATGCAGACACTTCTCAAATTTCATTCCTCAACCTCCGCCTTCCTGAATTCGAAAAAACTTTGGTGGTTATAAATAAAGGCTCTTTTCTACTAATCGCAATGGCGAACTTGCGTGGGTCGTGGAGCGCTGGTAGAAAAGCCTGGCTTGCGAGCTTTTGCGACGTTGCCAGCTTACTGCGAGGGTTTCATCCAATGAAAATACGTTTACATGCAACAAACTGCAGCGAGGTCTTTATTTAATACGTCGGAAAACACGTTCGAGTAAAGCCTCTTACAGGAAAATCTATGACAAGTTTTCATGTGACAAGTTTTAATTGTTCGTCTGTTGGCCCAACTTTGTGTACAAATGTACTTGTCGTAGAAAAAATTGCTCGTCTGTAAGAACCTTAAACATAATGAAATTAAGACCTAAAAAAATGAATTCAACTGAATATTTTATATCAACATGACCGTCGTTTCTCAGTGGCGTAGCCAGCCTGACGATTTACTCATGCGATGCAAATTTTGTGTTATTATCATTATTTGTTTCGTTAGAAATTCACTGTTTTCACAATCAATGAACACGAAAATATTAGCATAGCATGACTATATTGTCAGACTGGCTACGCCATTGTCGTTTCTTTCAGCACGAAGAGTCGTTCGCCCGTGCATTTCACAAAACACTCTCTGAATCATGTCTGGCTGCCGTTCAGTATAAATTATGCTGGAGTCGTTGAGTTACATGCAAATTTCTACAGTTTTGTTTAGATTAATTATTCAATTCAGGCAACTTTTGTCAAATTACAGCCGTTATGCGGCAAATTTGAATATGAAAGGCTCAGTGTTTTTACGCAGTGACACCATGGAATGGTTGCATGTATATCATGACCGATCAGATGATCAGAGACAGTGTTTAGCAGCTGAAGCCAGTTCTTTGTAAGAGAATTCAAGCAACTCAAGCTATATCTATTAGACTATAAAAACATGTGATCGAAAGGTTTTGTAATCACTGTTGATTTTGGTAATATACCCTTGTGCTCGACGAATTGAGAAATGTACTCTGCGATATAAAGGTAAATAATTATCTAATGTATACTTTAGTGTTAATCAAACTATAATCTGATAATTCTATAAGTTCATAAAGACTATTGTGCGATGATACAACCGACACGGCTGTCTATATTTCACTGCAAGGGCATGGGCTTCGATGCAGCCGTTTGTACAATTGAACCGATTTGCGTTGTCCCGTACGTTGCTGGTCAAAATTAATGTTCATATTTTCCAAATTTGAAAGCTGTTCATATTCTCGTTTGCTGTATTGTTTAATGGTATTATCCAGGATTTTCCTGTATTTCATCTAAGAAACCAATACCTCAAGCAAGTTCATAAGAGTTGAAATCCTTGACAGCATTGTATAGATTGTCAGCTAGCGTAATACAGGTTGAGTAAAAAAACTGACACCTTGGAAATTCAAATTAGCGCGAACTTATGGCTGGAATATGACAATTCCCACTGTGTACAATCAACAAAAACGATTTGATAACACTGTTCTTTTTTATTTACGCAGCTTTGAATGCTTTTTAACTGCCAAAGGGAAGAAACTTTATGTTTTAGGTTAAATAAAATACATGATATGCTTCGTATACCCATGAGATATTTTGGGGAACTTTGCGGCTAATTTGAATTTCAGTTCTTTTTTACTCACCCTGTATATCAATAATTTACAGTGTTTAATGATTATTGCTATGGACTGTGCATATACTTCCCATTTTTGGGCTGCGTCGAGTGCAATTCAAACAATAGATAATAAGATGATAAATTTCTTTAAGCGTTATCCTTTCATGTTGGTCATAATTACACAGAAACTCTTGGGCCGTTTGTATGAAAGCTGGATAGCGCTATCCACCGGAGACTGATCTTTTCAACCCTTCTAAAAATGCTTGAACAGCAATAAAATTTCATCATAGAATAGCAACAATGAATAGTTTGACCTCAGAAACGTCATAGTCTCCCCCGACAAACGTGAACATGTCAAGCGTGAAAAAAACGCTTTCGAATCGCGCAGGGTGCAGGGTTAATCGAGTTCGTAGTAATCTTGCATTCAGTTTTCGATACTAACTGGTTTGGTTTTGAGTTAGTTAAAAAAGCGCAAAAAGTAATTAAATAAAACTAATTGTAGTTATATAAGTTATTGCATGTTAAAAAGTGCTTGCCAAGTATTTTAACTTCGACTTTCCTCAAAAAGTTAATTTATTCCTGCCTGCTCCAAGGCACTTTTATACGATGTGTAATAACCAAAAATAATCTTTATTACACGTTTCTGGATGTGCTCCAAGGCGTTGTTTAAGTTGCACGCAGGTCCAACTTAGCTAAGTTTCTCCCACTCGTGCAGGCTCATAGTGTCAGCGGACAACTTACACAAAATTGAGAGCAAGGCGTAAAACGAAAAGCTTCTAATTTTTCATGCGAAGGCCGCTAGAAAACTGAGCCCTCTTTACCGGGAGAAAATTTGCCGAATATGACCAACGTGTTGGCAGGAAGGGTGTAATTTGAAAACTAATTCACACGCGTAGAGGAGGACTGATCGAATACACGCGGTATAAACCTGATCGAGTCATTCGAAAACACTTTTGCACGCTTCAAATGTGATAAAAAGTAAATCTCTTGGACGCTTATTAATAGTGTTTTCGATATGGGTATTCCATTTCAAGTCTTGTTGTAATGTCACTCCTAGGAGCTTGAGAGAAGTGACTAATCAAGAGTTTGTGCTTATATGCAAGTCCTCAAAAGGGGTAGTGGTTTTTGGAAAGGAAATAGTTAATTCTTTGCATCTTTTAACATTTAGCTGGAATTTGTTACTTTGTGACCACTCTTCTACTTCATCTACTAACAACTCTTTTGAATAATCTCGTAACTAGTAGTGTCGTTTATATATTTGATCACTTCGTTTGATGACTTAATTTTGCAGTTCGCGATCATAACTATAAATAACCAGGGATCCAGTTTGGTCCCTTTGGGAACATCTGCTGGTACCGATTTCCATTCCGAGCAACAATCGTTCCCTACATTAACCCTTTGTTATCTATTGCTCAAAAATTCGCAAATCAAGTTCACGATATGGGGATTGATTCAATAATTTGATAGTTTGGATATTAAGATATTATGGTCTATTAAGTCAAAGGCTTTCCTGATAACAAGGAAAAAGACTCTTACTTTAGCTTCATTGTTGACGGTGGCTTTAGTCCAGCTGTGAACAAGAATTATAAGAGCGAGAGTGGTAGATGAATCAGGGATACAACGGTACAGGTCTTGTCTAATCCGATTGAGCCGGAATAGCGGGCTTTACATGTTCTCTGACCACATACTCCTTGGAAATTTTGCTAACGGTGGGGTGTCAGTGATATAATTCTTAGGTCTTTGTTAATGTCTTTCAAAGTTTGGTTTTTAGGTATAGCTGTAACATTTTCACTTTTCCATACCTCGGAAGGCTTTTCTCAGTAAGTGATGAGTTGATTAACATACATACTTGTTCTGCAAAAATATGTGCGCATTCCTTAAGAATCCCATTTCGTATACTATCAGGCGCACATGCTTTTGATATATTTACTGTACTAAGTTGTTTTTCTACAACATGAAGGGAGATTACGGGGTCGACATTTATGCATCAAGTCTTTTATATGGGAACAGGGTATGTAAGTTCTTGGGTTCGATAAACGCATTTTTAATTTTATTTGCTAGGTTTTGTTTTGTTGCCTTGAAGGAAATATCCGAGGCGGGAAGCAGTTTCGACACAATCATCCACGATTTCTCTTGTTATCTAGCTACGAAATTAGATCGTTTTTATCAGTATTTACTGAAACAGATGTTAATATTGAAACCGAAGTCCTCACAATGTCATTCAGTTAACTTTGGTCAGACAAGACGAGATATTTCTTCAAACACCGCGTAACGGGGACTTGGAAAGCTATAGAAAATTTCGTAATTAAAGTTTCGGATAAATTACCAGGTAACAGGATTATATGACATTCTCCTGAAGCAATGGCAAATAATTAACCACAAAATATTTTAACAAAAAAGAACAGGATGCTACTTTATACACCTTTGCACCCTCAGTTATCTGCTGGGAATGGTTTTATCATGACCAAAACCTCTCTTAAACCTCTTTTGACCATCACAGCCGGGTTGGTTGTTCAAAATCAGGCTAAAATGGCTTAAGTTAGAGATAAATTTTATCCCGTGGGGTTATAATTTATTGCGTTGTTCAAAACGGATTAGCGTGCTAACCCATGGGCTAAATTTAACCCACCTCACCAGGTGTGTCAACTTGCTAATATTCTGGCTAAAACTGGTTTAACTAATCTAGGTTTAGATTTTAAAGATTTTAACAGGTTTCGCTGACTAACTCTGGGACAAGGCTCCCCAGTTGTAGAAATATCAGGCACGCAAGTTTAATCATGCATCTGCTCTCTTTTTCATCATTAAACGATAATTAACATATTTTTCAAATCCGGGTTGAGGAGCTTTGCAAGACGAATGCCATTGGTAAGTTTCGCTAAAATACAATAAATACGTGACGAGAAAGGAACCATTTTTTGCATAAACCTGGACAATAACATATTTAATGACTTGTATTGTACTTTTATTTATTCTCCAAATTGTGTATATTCTATTAACTACGGGTTAGGCCAGGCGTAGGAGAAGAATCTCCTCTATGTAAATACACGTTATTTATTACACGAGTGTAAATATTTATAAAAACGAACAAGTTGCGTGTTAGTGCACTGCAGTGTTTGTAAAGTAAACGTAAACCTTCTTTATCGTTCAACAACTTTATTTATTCTTTCCAAATTCACGTGGTCGTATCTTCATCGACGTTGACTTTAGAGAATAATGATGCCCTTTCCAAAGGTACCAGTTGACTCCATCAGCGGAAGATGTGTGTGCGCCATAATGATACAAACCATTCAAATTGGAATGATGACAATGCCAATACCACCAGGCTCCTTTGAATCTCAGCGCACAGTTACCGGCAACCCAAATATCATTGTCAGAATCTTTGGTGGTGAAAGCCATCCCGTTATGCCGTGATAACGTGTTTCCTGCTGTACCTTAATTAATGCAAAAAATTCAATAGCCTAATAGAACGAATAAAAGTGCAATTAATGCCGAAATCTTACGATTGTTTTGGTGAATTGTGCCCGTATGGTTAATTATGAAACAATTTTTGTAAATAAATACTACGGAAATACTTGCAACCCATTCTCCCACAAATTCCTGTTAATTTGTTTTAATTCTGTCCTGCTGATCGGAAAGCAACTGCCACATGAACAATTATAATCATTTAAATGACCGGGGTATTTAACAGCGCCTGGCTATTTACACGTCAAATGCTATATGCCCTCAATGTAGATTTGTGATTTGAAGATGTGATTTCGCATATGTCATGTTCACTGTTTCATCCCGTCATTGTAAAGGATGCTGTACGGATACTCAACAGTGATCTTGATGAAATTCAAGTAGAATGTTACGTTGTTTGGAAAAAGCGAAGGCTAGATAATGGTTACTAATAGTCGTAGGATATATTATGTTAATCAAAGTTGAAAAAAAATACAAATTTCGTCATTTGATTTTAAAATTTATCCCGTAAATAGCAGGGACTTTAAACATGTAGGACGGCAACACGACGACGACGTGACTGAAACACTCCCTCAGAAAACGCTGTGGTAAAGAGTTGTTGTAAATAATATACCGGGTGGCCCAAAAAAAAGTTAACCTGTTTGATTGAGTATACCTTCAAAACTAAGAGGCCAGTTACACTGAAATAACTTTCTTTATAGATTTGTGAATGTCTAACTTAAAGTTTGTTATATACCATGTGTACTTTGTTACAGTATTCCCAGAGATATTGGCGTTTAACTTCTAATACGTGCTTTTGAAAAGTGCAAAAATTAGTAAAAACTGGCATAAAATTATTAGCTAAATAGGAAAATATAATAATGTTTGTTTTTTTTATATATATATATATATATAATATTATATATATAATATTATATATATTATATATATTATACATATATATATATATATATTTATATATGTTGTGTAATATGATCGAAATCCCATGCAAATGTAATCATATGCAATTCTAATTAGACTTCAAGTATCTATCTATCTATCTATCTGCGGCCACCCATTTGCAAAAATGTTGGCCGCAGATAGATATACAGATAGATAGTCGAAATCTAATTAGAATTGCATATGTTGTGTAATATGATTGAAATCCCATGCAAATGTAATCATATGCAATTTTAATTAGACTTCAAGTATCTATCTATCTATCTATCTGCGGCCACCCATTTGCAAAAACGTTGGCCGCAGATAGATATACAGATAGATAGTCGAAATCTAATTAGAATGGCATATGTTGTGTAATATGATTGAAATCCCATGCAAATGTAATCATATGCAATTCTAATTAGACTTCAAGTATCTATCTATCTATCTGCGGCCAACGTTTTTGCAAACGGTGTATATATATATATATATATATATATATATGTATATATATATATATATATATATATATATATATATATATATATATATATATACATTCGTAATCAAAGAGGTTGTCATGTATATACATATATGCCTAAATATCTAAATATCGATCACGTGATTTGTTATATGCATGACTCGCGTGGGCCTTTTCGCGATAATTGTGCGTTATGAAGCCGCGTACACTACTCACTAGTTATTGTCAATCAAAAATGCCTACATCGTATTCTGATGATTTACGCTGGAGAATGACTTACCAACGATTGTTTTTTGACCGAAGTTATGATGAAATAGCATCACAGCTTTTTGTTGGCTCAAGAACTGTTATGCGAACGTTTCAGACGTTTTTAAACACGGGTGATGTGAAGCCTTGCCGTTTCGGTCGTCCAACGGACAGCGTAATATTATCCCCACACGAGGAATATGTTGTCATGGATTGCTTGCTTCGAGTCTCCCTAATGCAGCTACATGAGATGGCAAATTATATTCTCGACGTCACTGGTTCTTCTTTTGGTCCAGAAACGCTATGCCGCGCTGTACTGTGACAATGGTGTGAAATTCTGCCTCCTAAATGCTCAATCTCTGAGCAATAAGTCAGCTCAGTTTACTGACTTTATTTGCGATCATAAACCTGATCTTGTGGTGGTATTAACTGAGACATGGTTTACGGATAAAGAATCTGCTAATAAGACTCAATGTACTCCAATAAGTTACCAGCTCCTTGATCAACCGCGCCTCAGTCGCCGAGGAGGTGGAACTGGACGGAACTGAACTGGAAGGAAAATATTTCTGTTACTAAAATTGCTGCTGGCGAAAGACAATCCTTCGAGTATTCAGAGTGGAGGGTTAAATTCACTTCGCAGAGAATAACAGTTGCTATCATCTACAGACCACCTTTTTCTGAAATCACCCGGTTACCACCACTACGTTTTATTCAGAGTTTTCTGAATATTTGGAGTCAGTTGTTTTAAATACAGACACCCTTTTGAACGTTGGCGACTTCAACATTCATGTTGATTGTGATGATAACCCTGATACTGTTAAACTGCTTGAATTATTTGAGAGTGTCGGACTTCATCAACATGTGCATTTCCCTACTCATTATAGTGGACATACTCTCGATCTTATTGTTACCCAACAAACCGATCAGATCATTGCTTCACCTTCTATGGCTGATAGCTTGTTTTCTGATCACATGCCAGTATTCTGTCAGTTAACACTACATCGAGGGCCTCAAATTTATACAAAAGTTTCGTGTCGTAATGTCGCGGCTATAAGCTTGGATGCCTTGCGGAAGGACTTGTCTAATTCTGTCCTCTGCAAAAATATCGAATCACTTGATCTGAACGAGCTTGTAAACTGTTATAATGAAACATTAAACTCAAGTTTAAACCAGCATGCCCCTCTGAAAACAAAAATGGTTAAAAAAAGACCTACAGTCCCATGGTTTAATGAACAAGTTAGGATTGCGAAACGTCAACTGAGGCGGGCAGAAAAGAATTGAAGACGGACAAACTCGATCAATGACCTAAATGATTACAAAGCCAAGAAAAACCAGGCAACATTTGTTATGAATCGTGCCCGGAAATCGTTTTATACTGATTTTATTTCTGAAAACAGTGGCAATCAAAAGAAGTTATTTCAAGCTGCTAAGATCCTTTTTACGAGAAGTCTGATCTTATGTTTTCTGAATACGCTGACTCTTATAAGTTGGCTAATGATATAGGAGAATTTTTTGTCCAGAAGATCCAACGCATCCATGCTGAATTGGACTCTTCTACTTGTCAAAGAAGCCATTCACTTATCCTGGAATCCATTGAACCGACGTCTAGATTTGATTCCTTCGATATTTTGAATGAAGAAAGTTTTAAGGATTTGATCTCTATATCAAGTAAAAAATCGTGTTCTTTAGATCTAATGCCCACTTCACTGGTCTTAAAATGTCAAGATATTCTCCTTCCGGTGATTACTAGGATGATCAATTTATCACTAGAAACCGGTGTTTTTTGCGATGATTGGAAAGAAGCATTAGTCCAGCCACAACTTGAAACATCAAAAACAGAAATGATCTTTGAGAATCTCCGCTCTATTAGTAACCTTACATTTATGTCCAAATTAACAGAACGTGCTGTTTTTAATCAGACAAATGATTATCTGAATTTATATACCAACTTTATCCAAAGGCACAATCCGCTTACCGTAAGTATCATAGTACGGAAACGGCTGTGTTACGCGTTAAACACGATATCTTAATGAATATGAACCGCCAGCATGTTACCTTACTTGTAATCCTGGATTTAAGTGCTGCATTTGACACTGCGGACCATCATATATTGATCGACCGGTTGAACTCCTGTTTTGGCATTAAAGACCAAACACTAAAATGGTTCACTTCCTATCTTCTAATCGATCGCAGTTTATTTCTGTAAATGGTGGCACATCAAAGCGATTTGATCTCAAAAATGGTGTGCCCCAAGGATCTTGTTTAGGACCACTATTGTTCGTCCTATACGTGTCTAAATTGTTTCAGATCTTGGAAAGTCACTTACCAGATGCCCATGCTTACGCGGATGATAATCAATTGTATGTTTCATTCCAACCAGATTCAATATCTGAACAACTATCTGTGGTTAATGCAATGGAAAATGGTATCGATGACATCAAGGCATGGATGTTGAAAGATAAACTCAAACTTAACGACGGCAAGACCGACTTCTTAATTATTGGGACACGACAACTAGCGAAAGTTAACTTTGACACTTTACGTATTGGTGATTCCCATGTAACTGCATCCAGCGAAGCCAAGGACTTGGGTTTTTGGCTCGACTCGCAAATGAAATGTGACACCAATGTCAACAAATCATGTAAAGCAGCATTCATCCATTTATTTAACATCAGGAGAATAAGAAAATTTCTAACGCACGAAACCGCTCAAATATTGATCAACTCATTTGTCACAAGCCGTCTTGACTACTTCAACAGTCTCTATTATGGTTTGCCTTCGATCCAACTCAACAAACTTCAACGGGTGCAAAATGCAGCAGCAAGATTGATATGTAATGTTCCTAGATTTGAACATATAACTCCGACCCTGAAAGATTTATACTGGCTCCCAATTCAGTTCAGGGTAGACTTTAAAATTTTATTAATTGTTTATAAAGCACTTCATGGGCTGTCGCCTCAGTATATTTCGGAGCTTATAAGCATTAAACCTCCATCATCATATAACATTAGATCGAACTCGAAACTTTTGCTTCAGCAACCCGCCTTCAAATGCTTACCGACTCTTGGTGGTCGCTCGTTTGGGTGTGCAGCGCCGAATTTGTGGAACGATTTACCCTATTATATCCAAAAAGCAGACACTGTCGGCTGTTTTAAAAAACGTTTAAAAACTTATCTATTCAAGAAAGCTTTTATGATATAGTTTGATTTTATTTATAATCTAATTTAGATATTTTATATGTATATAGGTATTCATATATATTTTAGATAAATCTTACCCTATCTGTAATGCGCATGTGAGCATATTTGAATGGAACTTGCGCGCTAT